GAATGTAAGCAGGTTGAATTGTGAAGAAGGAGTAATGAACAGAGACATTGTTTTTGGATATACATGTCTCTTAACTGTGTTTTTTAAGGCAGAGAATGGAAGTGCCGTGATAGCTGAGATTATTTCAGTTATCATTAGAAAGAACAGAACAATTTTTGGTAAATACAAATCAGCTGGAATTGCAAAAAATTTAATGCAGACTGAATGTGGTTCTGGGGTTATAGGTTCATTTTCTCAAGTGGTCAAAATAGGACCAATTAAGACCTTTTTTTTTTTGTAGAGAAGAAATACTTTAAATTATTACTTAGCATTAAAGTAGGACAGTGAGAATTATATATAAATAATCCAGATAACTTGAATTTGCAGTTATGTTTGAATGTTTTTACAGCCTCATCTCCACCATGATAAATATGATTGTCCTCTCACTTGGATACATATGCACTTTTGTATATGGATGGATGCAATCCCTACTTCACTGAATATAGGATAAGAGACACAACACTTGATAAAAAATCTCATTAATTGATTCCAGGAATTTTGAAGTTTTGATAATTTGAACAGGAACTGAGCAAATATTTCCTTTACTATTACTTATAAAGACCAGATTTTCTGAGCAAGTTAATAACATAGACAAGATTTGGGAAGACTATTTAACAATGTAAGAGAAAACAACTTCCAATCAATTCTTGGACAAATGCTTTCTGACATAAACCTTTATGTTACACCCAACTTGTTGAAGTATATGTGTCACTAGTGGTTTGGAAGGGAAGGCAACTGGGGAGTAGAGAAATGGGATTATTTCAAGAAAGTGACTTAATCTTGCTTGTGGAAGGTGAATGCCAGACCTTTATGTTAGTGTCAAAATGTAACCAATTGGAGGAGAGTTTGGAAGCAATTCTAGCCAGTCAGAAGAAGAATAGTGCTAGAATGTAATTATTAAAATGGTTACTACAGTCTGAATTCCATATTGTCTGGAGCACAAACAGATCCCTCCCTCACTCATTTGCCTAAATTCCATAGTTAGCCCTGGGTAAAATGCCTTGTACTTGCCCATTGATGATTAAGTATGTTCTGACATTGTTCAGATAATACTTTCTGGAAAAGAGAGTATGAGAACTAAGGCCTGCTAAAAGTTCTTTCATGTGATTGTCCCATTTGCTTATGTTGGTGGTTCAATTATACTACAAGACTTCATGACAGTACTCCTCGACCCAGCTGACCCAGGGAATTTATCAGTGATTCTGCTTTAGATAGGTGAATATGAACATATTGCAGGTATGAGAAAGAAAGGGCTAAAGATCCTGGAGATAGTGTTGTTTAATATATATTTAACCCTTGTTGACCATAACAAGTTTTCCTCTAGGCCATATGATGATGCATTAAGAAATAGAAAGTAGCCCTGGCCGGTTTGGGTCAGCGGTTAGGGTGTCAGCCTTCGGTCCAGAGAGACCCGGGTTCTGTTCCCCCTAAGGGCACATACCTCGGTTGTGGTTTGTCCCCAGACCTGGTTGGGTCGTGCTGGTGGGTGGCAGCCACTCAATGTGTCCCTTTCACATCGATGTTTCTCTCTCTCTCTTCCACACTCTCTTATGCACTCTACTATCTGAACAAAAAATGGAAAAAATGTCCTCTGGTGAGGATAAAACAAACAAAAAAAGAAATATAAAGTAGAAATATGTTAATTAGGACTTAGTAAGAAATTTATAGACCCTTGAGTGCTGACTTGCTTTTGCCCCTGTTGTAATGTCCAAAAGGACACCTGGCCATTGAATTCTTTACTTTTTTAACCTGGGAAAATCTTCACTCTCTGTGAATTTTACTGACCTTGAATTTTGGGCATGCCTCCACAGGAACAGTGAAGCCAACATTGGAACCAACAGGAAATTATCTGCTCATCATATCCTGTTTTTTGTAAATCTTTTATACTACATACTATATGTTTGCTTGTTCAGTAGTAGAGCATAGTAAACACAATCTTGAACTGAGTATCAGTCATCATTTTAACAAACTTTCAAAATTGTGATGAGTTTTTTATGGTCTTGCTCAGCATGACTTAAAAAATTTAATTACTGAGTTCTTATTGTGAAAATTTGGGTTGCTTAGAACATACCAGGTCATCTTAGCCTGAGGGAGCTGGAGACAGCCTATTTTTGATACCTGCTTTAAGCACTGGTAATTTAGGAACCAACATGGGATTGAATGTGTAAACTTCCCCCAGTTCCATGTGAAAGAAAGGAACATAACTGGATTTGGAAGGAGATAGACTGATTAACTATCAGTGGCTAGTATATGAAGTCCTCTAGATTTCAAGACATCAAGAGATATTAATCTAGGCCTGGCTGGTTTGTCTCAGCAGTTAGAGTTTTGCCCCGTGGACTGAAGGATTGTGGGTTCGATTCCCAGGCAAGGACACACACCTGGTTGTAGGTTTGATCCTGGCCCTAGTTGGGGTTGTGTGGGAGGCAACCAATCGATGTGTCTCTCACACACTGATGTTTCTCTCTATATATATTTCTCTCCCTTTCTTTCTCCCACCTTATCTAAATATCAATGGAAAAATATCCTAGAGTGAGGATTAACAACAACAGCAAAAAAGGAGATATGCGTCTAGCACTGGCTGGTGTGGTTCAGTTGGTTGGAGCATCATCCTGTAAACTAAAAGGTCATGGGTTTGATTACCAGTCAGGGCACATACCTAGGTTGTGGGTTTGATCCCCTATCAGGGCACATACAGGAGGCAATGCATCAATGTTTCTTTCGCATATAGATGTTTCTCTCTCTCTCTCTCTCTCTTTCTCTCCTCTTTCCCTTCCTCTCCTTCCCCTCGCTCTAAAATCAATAAACTTATTCTTGGGTGAGGATTTCAAAAAATAGAGATATTCATCTGTTATTGGATTGAGGGCCATATAGTGTCTCCCACTTACTAATTCATTTATTGTGGTTACTGTGTGGTGTCATTCTATGAAAGGAGGATAAGTATATTATATGCATACACTTGATACACTGTTTATTATGCTCTTCACCTATGTATTGAAAGCCTTCGAAGTATATAATGATTTCCATTGAAGTGGGGAAATTAATACAGACTTAATCTAGTATTGCAGTGGAAAAGAGATTTAGTGTACGGGAGTAGAGTTTGAGTTAAATCAAACATTTCTCTGATAGATTAAGTAATTTTTCTTGATTTTCTCAATGTAATTAATTAATTTGTTTTTGTTACAGATGTTTCTCCTTTTTCCCCCACTGATGCCCCCTCCCCCTCCATCCCGCCCTGTCCCAAACTTTGTTGTGCATGTCCATTGTTCATGCATGCATGCATATAAGTTCTGTGGTTTATCCATAAAAATAATCTTCAAATACCTATGAGACTTGATAGGAATGGGGGTGTCTTTGCCAGCACAAAAACACAGAAGAAAATCAACAAAATTCTATTTAACAAAATGTATAAGAAGTGAAGGAGTGGGCTTATTGAGATAGGAGAAGGAAGTACAACACCTGACCCTTAGAAAATGTCTTTATATACATAAGAATCATCAATACTTACCTGTAAAAAATATTAGAAAATTAATGGGGGAAAAGAAAAAGCATTACATCATCTGTTTCAGAGATATATGAGAAATTCCAGAAAGAGAATAATCTGGAAGAAAAAAGAAATCCCAGAAAAATTCCTTGATGTCAGCAATCCATGATGAGAAGGAATAAATGTGATTAAAAGAGTTAAAAGAATGTAAGAAATTAGATTTTGGACTTTTACCCAAGACCAAGGCTACTGGAAACTCTTACATAGATGGCACTTGTTTTCTCCAAACTATCTCTGAGAAAATATATTTGACAGTTCAGTTGGAACCATTGTAGAGAGGATGACCCAGAGTGGGACAAGACTCAAGTGATCTTTGATTTTTACCCAGCAAAATTATTTCAAGGCCCCCCTAATTTGACAAACACCTGTTATTAATGCAGTTTTACAATTCCTATTTCCAGTTTCATCCTTTGCTTATGATGTACTCTGTCAAGGTTTTCCATGCAATAAAATTCCCTTTGATGCCCTTAGCATGTGCCTGTTACATTTGCTTGTTTTGAAAAATATTTCCAGCATAAAGATCAATAAGAATTACTTGTCAATATTAAACATACTCTTTCAACAATTGCAGAGATTCTCTGACAACACACAAAATGATGCTCATGAGGTTTTAGGTCACTGTTTAGATCAGATGAAAGAAAACATGGAAAAGTGAAACAATTTGGAAAACTAAAATTGAATCTACGGAAGAAAATTCACCTCAACAGTTTTGCTGACGATGCTGTCACCAAACTGCTTGTTTGTCCTGTCATCACTAATTTTGAGATTCAGTTGCTGCACTCTATTATTTGTAAAGTCTGTGGTCAAGTTATTCTCAAGACAAGTGTATAATTGTCTCTTCATTAACCTTCCATAAGGAACAAAAACACATCCTTTATCTATTCAATCTACTTTTGATCTTTTCTTTAGAGCAGAAGAGCTTGAGTATAAATGTGGGAAGTGTAATCACAAGACTTCAGTTTCAATGCAAAAATTCAGTAGGCTACCCAGGGTTCTCATTGTTCATCTGAAATGCTATAGCTTTAAAGAATTTTGGTCTTTAAGGAAAGATGACCAGGAAGTCATTGTTTCTAAATATTTAAAGTTGTCTTCTCATTGCAATGAAAGTACCAAACCACTTCCTTCCTTGAACAAAAATGTACATATTAAGGGTTCTGAATGCTTAACATTCTTTCAAAAGATTAATTATAAAATTCTTAGGTCGTTGACACCTTCAACAAAGTAGACTTCAGAATCCAGCGATTGCCTGGCTCTACACTCTGAATCAAAGAATCTGAACCACAAAAGTACCAGAATTTTGGATCAAGCAAAGAACAGCAACAAAAACACCTGAGAAAATACTCTAAACTGAATATAACAGAATCCATATTGCTCAGGATATGACACAGCCATTGAACAAGAGCTATTAGTACCAGACTTAATGAGGTATCTGGAAAATACCAACATTTCTTCGATCTGTGAAGATAAAGGTAAATACACCAATGGCCTCAACACATGTCCTGCAGAAGTTTATCTTCAAGAAGTGCCTAAAAACACAAAACTAAAAATATATGAGAGAGAAGATGGCAGCGGGCAGGACCGAAGGGAGAGTGAGTACATGAGAGAGTGAGCTAGTGTGTGAGAGAGTGTGAGTGGATGTGAAAGTGGACAACCAAACTCATACACTGCAGAGACGCAGAACAGAAGGTTCGAGTGCTGTGGACAGGGAGCAGCCGGCTACTGAGGTAAGCGGATCTTCAGGGTGCTTCTCCCTGTGCCACGGAGAGGTCTCGCCATTTTGGAAGATCCCGGGTCTTCCCTGTGTGGAGAGGGTAGGAGCAGCTAGGGCCTAGCAACCTGAGCCCGCCAGTGCACCTGGCACTATCGGACCAGTGGACACCCTGTGTCAACACTGACCGGTGCACAGTAGCAGAGCTGTCAAGATGCCTGCTGCAGAAGCCACAAATGGCTGGGAGTCCAGCATCATCCCACACAGTAGCAGCCTGACCCGGGTCAAGATATGCCCACAGAACAGAGGCTGGAAAGCAAACATCCATCCTTAACCAACAGAAACACAAACCAGCAGCTGAGACCCATCCCCAAAAACTAGGGCAAAGGTGGAACAGAAGCTGAGCCCCACTGGGCAGCAGCACTCCCCAGCCACCAACAGCAGGACCTGGGGCTCCCTAGGGGCCTGTGTGACCCAGAGGCCCACAAGAGCGGTGAGGAGCTGGTACTCCATATAAACCTGTGCGACACAGAGGCCCAAAAGAGTGGTGGGCAGCCAAGGCTCCAGACGGACCTGTGTGACCCAGTAGCCCACAAGAGTGGTGGGGAGTTGGGGGCTCCAGAGAGGCCTGTGTGATCCAGCGCCACACGGGACTAGCAGGAAGCTGGGGCTCCAGAAAAGCCTGTGCAACACAGCAGTCCAAAAGATAGACAGGGAGCCAGGGCTCCAGTGGGGCCTAAGTGACACAGTTGTCAAAAGGACTGGCGGGAGCTGGGGCTCAAGTGGGGCCTGTATTACCCAGCTGCCCATGGTGCAGGCATGGACTGCAGCTCCAACAGAACCTAAGCAATACAGCTAGAGGTGGCATCAGGGACCAGAGAGGAACACAGCTTCAGAGGGGCCCATGCGATCCTGCTGCAGCACCTACTAGGACACACCAGTACCAGGCCCCAGCAGTCAGTCCTCCAGAATCAAGAGCAGACAAGAGGCTACATGAAACAGAACAGTCTGAGAGGCACAGTAGCCTTATTTGATATACAGTGAACTGCCTACACATCCAAACATCCCTCCCTGGGTCTAGAACTACCAGAGAGCTAAAATGGAGAGACAAAGAAACAACACCCAAAGGAAAGAAAAAGAGGAATCACCAGAAAAGGAACTACAGGAAATGGAAGACAGCAACTTGTCAGATAAAAAATTCAAAGCAATAATTCTAAGGGTGCTCAAACAACTAGGTGAGAACTACAAGCAACTTAATAAGAATTATGAAGAACTCACTGGGAACTACTTCAGCTAAAAGAAAGAGGTAGAAGCTATGCATATAGAGGTAGAAGCTATGTACAAAAATCAAGAGGAAATAAAGACAGACATAGCTTTTATGAAAAAATACCTTAGAAGCTTTCAATTGTACTTTAGAAGAAGCTAAAGAACGAATCAACAACTTACAAGACATGGTAGAGAAAAACACCCAAATAGAACAGCAAATGGGGAAAAAAAAAGTTTAAGAAGCAGGAGAGTTTAAGGGAGCTGTGGGACAATACAAAGAAAGGAATAGAGAAGCTCTTTGAAGAAATAATGATAGAAAAGTTCCCTAAACCGGAGAGGGAAAAAAGTCACACAAATCCAGGAAACACAAAGAATCCAAAGAAAGATGAACCCGAGAAGACCCACAGCTAGACACATTATAATAAAAATGGCAAACATGCCCTGGCCAGTTTGGAACAGTGGATGGAGCGTTGGCCTGTGGTCTGGAGAGACCCGGATTCCGTTCCCGAAAAGGGCACGTAACTTAGGTTGCAGTTTGTCCCCAGCCCTGTTTGTGTCGTGTGGGTGGCAACCACTCGATGTGTCCCTTTCACGTCGATCTCTCTCTCTCTCTCTCTCTCTCTCTCTCTCACTCTATCTGAATAAAGTACTGAAAAATATTCTCGGGTGAGGATAAAAAAAAAAAAAAAGGCAAACATTAAAGACAAAGAAAGAATCACTTTTTAATTAATTAATTTATTTTTGTTACAGAGGTTTCTCCTTTTCCCCCCACTGATTCCCTCTCCCCTGCCCTCCCTGCCCTGTCCCGAGCTTTGTTGTCCATGTCAATTGTTCATGCATACATGCATATAACTTCTGTGGTTTATCTCTTCCCTACCAATCCCTCTACTGGGGATTGTCAGTCTGTACCCCACTTCCAAGTCTCTGGGACTACTCCATTCCTCAGACTGTTATGTTCATTATATTCCACAAATAAGTGAAATCATATACTTGTCTTTCTCTGCTTAGCTTGTTTTGCTTAGTATGACACTTTCCAGGTTCCTCCATGTCATCTCAAACGATAAGAGATCTTTCCTTCTTACATCTGGATAGTACTACACTGTGTATATGTATCACAGCTTTTTTATCCACTCGTCTACTGATGGACATTTGGGCTGTTTCCAGATCTTAGCGATTGTAAATACTGCTGCTACTATCATGGGGGTACATATATTTTTTCCGATTGGTGTTTCAGGCTTCTTAGGGTATATTCCTAGAAGGGGGATCACTGGGTCAAATGGAAGTTCAATTTTTAATTTGTTGAGGTAACACCATATTGTTTTCCATAGTGGCTGCACCAGTCTGCATTCCCACCAGCAGAATACTAGAGTCCCCTTTTCTCCACACCCTCGCCAACACTTGTTGTTTGATGATTTGTTGATGGCGGCCATTCTGACAGGTGTGAGGTAGTACCTCATTGTTGTTTTAATTTGCATATCTCTGAGGATTAGTGATGTTGAGCATTTCTTCATATATGTCTTAGCCATTTGTATGTTCTTTTAGAGAAGTGTCTATTTAGTTCCTCTGCCCATTATTAATTGGGTTCTTTGTCTTCCTTTTGTTGAGTTGTATGAGCACTCTATATATATTAGAAATTAACCCCTTATCTGATATGTCATTGGCAATTATGCTCTTCCATTTTGATGATTATATTTTTCGCTGTGCAGAAGCTTTTGAGTTTGATGTAGTCCCATGTGTTCATTTTCTCCTTTGTTTCTATTGCCTTAGGTGATGTGTCAGTAAAAATTCTGCTGCGTATGATGTCTGAAATTTTGTTGCCCACAGTCTACTCTAGGATTTTTATGGATTCATGAGTTACATTTAAGTCTTTTATCCATTTTGAGTTTATTTTGGTGTAGGGTGTAAGTTGATGGTCTAGTTTCATTTTTCAGCAAGTAGCTATCCAATTTTCCCAGCACCATTTATTAAAGAGGCTGTCCTTACTCCACTGTATGCTTTTTCCACCTTTGTCAAATATTAATTGAGCATATTGCCTTGGGTCCATTTCTGGGTTCTCTATTCTGTTCCACTGGTCTATATACCTGTTCTTGTGCCAGTACCAGGCTATTTTGATTATAGTGGCTTTGTAGTATAACCTGAAATCTGGTATTATGATCCCTCCAACTTTGTTCTTCCTTTTCAAGATTGCTGTGGCTATTCGAGGCCTTTTTTGGTTCCATATGAACTTTTGAAGTAATTGTTCTAATTCTGTGAAGTATGCCGTTGGTATTTTGATGGGGATTGCGTTGAATCTATATATTGCTTTGGGTAATATGGACATTTTAATGATGTTAATTCTTCCAATCCATGAACAGGGTATGTGCCTCCACTTTTTTATATCTTCCTCTATTTCTTTTTTCAATGACCTGTAGTTTTCTGAGAATAGGTCCTTTATTTCTTTGGTTAAGTTTATTCCTAGGTATCTTAATTTTTTTGCCCCAATGGTAAATGGGATTGTTTGCTTAGTTTCTCTTTCTGTGAGTTCATCATTGGTGTATAAGAATGCCATCGATTTCTTGACATTAATTTTGTATCCTGCTACTTTGCCAAATTCATTTATTAAGTCTTATAAACTTTTGATGGAGTCTTTGGGTTTTCTATGTACAGTATCATGTCATCTGCAAATAATGACAATTTTATTTTCTCCTTTCCAATTTGTATCCCTTTTATTTTTTCTTCCTGTCTGATTGCTGTGGCTAAGACTTCCAGTACTATGTTAAATAGGAGTGGCAAAAGTGGGCATCCTTGCCTTGTTCCTGTTCTTAAGGGAAATGCTTTTAGTTTTTGCCCATTGAGTATGATGTTGGCTGTAGGTCTTTCATATATGGCCTTTATTATGTCCAGATATGATCCCTGTATTCCCACACTGCTGAGCGTTTTTATCAGAAATGGATGCTGGATTTTGTCGAAGGCTTTTTCAGCATCTATTGATATTATCATGTGGTTTTTATTCTTCATTTTATTTATGTGGTGTATCACATTTATGGATTTGCGAATATTGTACCAGCCTTGCATCCCTCGGAGGAATTCCACTTGGTCATGGTGGATAATTTTTTTGGTGTATTGCTGGATTCGATTTGCTAGTATTTTGTTCAGGATTTTGGCATCTATGTTCATCAGGGATATTGGCCTGTAGTTTTCTTTCTTTGTTGTATCTTTTTCTGGTTTTGGAATTAGAATTATGCTGGCTTCATAAAACAAGTTTGGAAGTCTTCCTTCTTCTTGAATTTTTGAAATAGTTTGAGGAGAATGGGTATTAGTTTTTCTTTGAATGTTCGGTAAAACTCCCCCGTGAAGCCATCCGGGCCTGGGCTTTTGTTTGCTGGAAGAGTCTTGATTACATCTTCAATTTCTTCTGTTGTTATTGGTCTGTTCAAGTTTTCAATCTCTTTAGTATGGACATTTTAATGATGTTAATTCTTCCAATCCATGAACAAGGTATGTGCTTCCAATTTTTTTATATCTTCCTTTATTTCTCTTTTCAATGATCTGTAGTTTTCTGTGAATAGGTCCTTTATTTCTTTGGTTAAGT